GGACAGAAGAAAGGAGAGCGCAGCTTTTGTTTTGGAATATAAACGCGACATGACGAGAGCAGTGATAAAAACTGCTCCCTGCAGGAGAGGCTAATCTCCACATGATGCTCAGACTAGAGAAAGTGGAAATTTAGCACTAAGAAAGGTAGCTATCAATTTAAATAACTAATTCTTACTATTTATTTTTTGCTCTTGTTATTAGAGTGATGTTTAATCTGTTTACACACTTGTTTGAGTGAAGATTAAGTGCAATGATCACGTTGTTTTAGTTACAGTCAGTCACAGACTACCACAGCTCACTGTGCAGTGTAATAAAATTACCATTTATGATTAATTTATTTTAAACACAACTTAATTAGGAGTTTGCTGGTGACAAACAACTTACCAAAGAGTCATCAAGCTAAGTGTTGTGTTTGCATTAGTCTGAAAAAAAAACCCACCATTATTCTTCGTAGAAGTAACGTTTACTGAACTGCTGTCAACCATACAAAAAAAACCCACGACCCCATCGTAAAACGCTGTTGCGACTCAGAACCTGTGTAATATATTGCATAACACACAGAGTNGATGCCAGTCACAGAAGTGAAGAGGAGGAGGAGGAAGGGACAGATGAGCAGGGTGAGGAGGAGCAGGAGAAGGAGGAGGAACAGGAGGAGCAGGAGAAGATGACAGGAAGCAGGAAACAGGAGCAGAAACAACTAAAAAAGCAGTGCCGGGTACATGTGCAGTGTGTAGTACTGTGTTTATGATGGGTCTTTGTGTACTAATAAAACAGATGTGTTCATATCAACACAAACTGTGTCAAAACACAACAATGTGTCTATATAAGGACAACACATTTTGTGCTAAATATGACACATTTATTGTGCTAATTATTTAACACAGCTGTGTAAAAATTAATACAATAGCTGTGTTAAAGAAACAGTGTGTTAATTAGGGGTGTCCCGATCCGATATCGGTCCGATTTCAGCCAAAAAATGAGTATCGGATTTTATCGGCCTGCATAAAAAATGTCCGATATAAGCGCTC